AACTAACAATGAACGACTGTATTTGTATTAACTAATGTAAACAAAGATTAATAAATACTGTAATAAATGTTCATTGTTTGTTCATGTTAGTTAACTCATTAAATGACACCTTATTGTAAAATGTTACCAATATTTTTTATTTGTGAGCTTATGTTCAGCTGTTCTTTTTAATAGTCAACTTATTTCGGGTCATCATCATAAAGTCTCTGCAAACACTGCCACAGACACAAAGATATATCTTTCATTTCATCACGCTGAATGCTCACTAAAAACTGCTCCAGTCATCACATTTTCAGACCATTTCATGTTTTATTTTGACGTAACACAAAGTAGTGGTATCTAAGCAGGGCCATAATTTTCTTCATTCAGACCGAGAGCTCGCACAAAAACAAGAGGCGGGATTTATCACACAAACCAATCACATCCAACCTTAACCGATCATATCCAATTATAGCGCGACTGAGACATTGTCTCCTCTCACGTGACTTTCCCCCATTCATTTCAATGAGCCTCCAGAAAAGTCATGGCACGCTTTGGGGTCTCTGTAGAAAGTCAATGGACCGAAGGGAGGCAAGCCTCCGCTGTAACTTTACCTGCGGGTGTCGCTGTTGGACAGTATTACTTTATAAAAACGAGTGCCTTTTAGACTTTTAATATCATATTTAGTCATATTTGCGCTGTTTTATTTTTGTAATATCGATTATTTTCTCATCCAACTTTTTGAGGAGACACTGCCTCCCTTGCCTCCTCGGAGGAAACGCCCCTGACATACATGCTCCCTTTGAGAGGAAATGACAAGTCTGCTTTTGTGTGAAACACAGAAAAGCACTCAATACATGGTGTTGACATATTGTTGGTTCTACAGGCTCTCAGCACCTGCACATCACCAATCTGTTTTTAGAGACTTAAACCATATCAGTTTTCAAAGGAACTGGAAAAGAATACGTTTTTTTAAATATAGGCCAACAAATCCTACTTCTATCCACCATTAATGTAAAACCTGCCATTTTTGTCAATACTGTGTAATATTCTACTTTTAAATAACTATAAACTGTTTCAAGTTAAACAAATTTATCTGAAATGTAAGACTTCATGATGCATTGTTACTTTTAATAAAGAAACATAATCTAATGGAATCACAGCAGGGCTGTATATGAAAGGTAATAAGGTAATAACTAACTAAATATTTAATATTTGACAACCGTTTTATGAAAGAAATATAAAATGACAGTGATATCCATGTACTTAACTTTTCAGTCAGATTTCACCATTTTGAATTGAATAGTCATCATAATTTTCCTAATTCATTTAATTTATTTCGCTACTGAATGTGACGAGACAAGAAACATTAAAAGTGTCATTTTAGGCTTATTACACAATATGATCAAGAGTGATTGTGTGCATATAAAAATATTATTTGCAAATAGTTCAAATGCATTTTTACATTGCATTCTAGTTACTGTACTATTTGACTTTTTTCCTTTGTTTGCTTATAATAATAATAATACTTCAATTCTTGAATCCCACCACCTCCCAAATTAAAAATGTTTCTGTCTTTCCCAATGTTTGAGACATGTTTACTGCCTTAAATCACAGCTAATATTTGCACATTTTACTAGAAAAGATGACTGTCCATTTTAAATGTGTTTATCTAAAAAAAAATAGAGATGGCCTCAAAGCTAACAGACATTGACTAACAGCCACAGAACACCAATTTTTATTTCATTGGGTCTTTTAATGATGTCTCAAAGCCATAATTTGTTGTGCGGGAATGTGAATGTAATTACCTCACTAGTCATTTGGGCCCACTGAGGTCAAGGCAGGAAAATTAATGTGGCACATTTCACAGAGCAGCGGGCACTTCCTCTGATTCAGTTTAGCTTCACTCAGCATCACCACAAAGTCGAGTATTTGCATGTACTGTATTAGAAGCACTCCATCAGTGCGAGAATCAATATCTTTGCTTACAGCCTATTTTGTGTTATCAAACCACCAGTCCAGATTGGTACACACAGAGAGAGAATAGAAGGATAAAAGAGGTTTAATCTGAGCTCTGCGGCTCAGCCTCGTATCTCTGTTTCCTGACAAATCTGTGTAACAGCAGAGCGCTTGGAATGAGCGATTGGTAGGGGTGTGTTTGTGTGTTTGTGCGGCTTTACTTAGCTACAGTTTGGGATTCCTCAGTAGTTGGATACATCAGACAGAACCTCTATCTGGGGACATCTTTAAATGGAAAGGGGGGAAAAGTGTATGTGAAGGTGCATGCGATATGTAAAAATATGTACCATGTATAAAACTTAAAAAAAAGTTTTTCTATATTGGGGACAAATCTGTATGAATTTGTATGTACAAAAATGTACAGTTTTTAGGAGCATATGCAGATTGTACGAAAACATACAAATTAGATTATGGATGAGATTATGGATAAATTGTGATGAGAGTGTGTTAAAACATATTTAACATATTGTATACTGTTTCTTGCTTAACTTTTCAGTCAAATTTCACCATTTTGAATTGAATAGTCATCATCATTTTCCTAATGATTTTCATAATGCATTTCATCAATATTTATCGAATCTGTGCAGCAATTATGAGTTTTTGCCCAATTTCCATAAAAATTATCTATTTTAGTTCCTATATTTTGGGATGTCTTGCTTGAATGGTCTGCCCCACATTACGCCACTGAGTTTCAATAAGACTGAGGGGTCAAGAGTAACATGACCAGGGCTCGCAAAATTTCATAATCCCTGGTAGGCATTCTGCAGATTTTGGTAGCCCGTAATGAATTTTAACTAACCTGAATAAAAATTGTACAGTGATTGTAGGGGGAACGGATCACAAAACTCACAGTTCGAATCATATTACAGATTTTGAGTCAAAGATTGGATAATTTTTCAGATAAGCAAAAAAAGGGAACATTTCTTCGATACCACAGCAAAAAAATAATAATTTGCATAACTAATAAAGGACTAACATTGTTAAAGACAAGTGAACAGTCAGTCATAAGAAAATATTAGAACATTAATAGAAAATATTAGAAAATAAGAACAAAATAAACAATAATAAAGCATAGATAAATACAATATAAAAAGTTACAAATAAAATACGGTCTAACTGTAGTATTTAGATACAGAAATGTAATAATTATGTGTAAAATAACACTGCATAGTGTTCACTGTATAAATTAAATATAGATGAATCTTTGTCAAAGCTATGTTTTGTTGTTTGATTAACATTAAATTGGAAAGACTTAGAAACACATGCAAATGATCACCTATGATCCATTTCACCACTACAAGCGAATGAACAACGCCAATCAAGGAAGGAATTTTATATCACTATTCAGGATAACTCATCGGGTACATTTTGGTAGCCTGACTGGAAGACACAAGAGCCCTGGTACATCGGGCTAGCGAGTTTGCGAGCCCTGATGACCATTCTGAAATGGTCAGTTTCAGCCACTGTTTTTGTGATTAATTCTGTTGTTCTTGATCAATGTCATGATCACCAACGTTTTGCTGGAGTTTCAGATCACTGAAAACCCACCCATTATTTTAGGATTATAAGCATGCTAGTAGAGAGCAAGCAAGCAATAATGCTGTCAAATTTTCCTAATGCTCTCTAGCAATCCACCACCAGCTACACAATTTGCTGTTTGTTTGTATTTATTGTTTTTGAAACATGATAAACATGGCAATATCTTTTCATAGTGTTTCTCCATGGTAACATCTAATGAACTCAATTCAGTGTTCCCTTTCAAGGGAACTTCGAACTGCGTCCTCTATGGGTCGCTATGGGGAACCTCCTGCGCCTGCATTGCAGTCTCCTATGCTGGACCTATGATGTTTTCAGTTGGTTCTGTGTCTTACATAGTAACCACCTTACTGATGGTCCGGACTAGAGGCTTCTTCGGGCTTTGCTTCTTGAACAAGGCTCCTGCGCGGGAACCATGGTGGGTGAGTACGATCCATTTTGAATATATAAAATGCGCTGGTGGTTGTGTGAATCCATCTGCATTCCGAGCCTTCTTTGCAGTGTTTCCGGGACCTGTGTGTTTCTGTCCTTTTCTAGGGTAGGTCCTCGGTGAGCACCCCCTCTGCTGGACTCAGAATCGGGTTCTCGACTTTTGCAGTGATGACCTCACTTGTCGATGCTGGATCCAGACTGTTTGATAGCCCTTTCTAGCTTCATACTTCCTGGATTATGTGGTCAGATCACAGGCTTCTGTGGAGGCCTTCTTAGTCATCCTCTTGGCTGAGAGCTGGGTGTTATGCTCCCTCAGCTAGATAACTTACAGCTAGCCGTTCCAGCATTATTCCATAGATTGAGTTGGTGACTTCTCAAACATATTGTTCTTGGGATGCACCATTTCCATCTATGGGCTGCTCTTTCAGAGTGCTACGAGGGCCCATTAGAACAGTATCTTTAAAATCCATGTTATGGTAAGTGTGCACGCGAAGTCCCTGTGCACTTTCTAAAATCCACACTGTGGTAAGTTCGCACATTAAGCATTTTGCGTTCTTCCTAAAATCCTGTATGGTAGGGTCTATGCGCGGCGGCTTCGTGCCCTTTCTTGAGTCGGTTAGGCCCCGGTTTCACCTTGGGCATCACTCCACCTATGTATCCTCAGGATACCTACTTTAACAGGGTGTTGCTACTAGGGGTCTGTTGAGACAGTTCCTTCAGCAAGCTCATGCAGAGCAAGCGGTTGCCCCATGGGTGACAGGCCAAGACCTAGTACGATTCTAGGCACTTGGTCGTATCACCTTAAAGGAATCTATTCCTGATTCTAAGCCTTGAGCTCTACCCAGGAGTTCTGGCCCTAACATGTAAGTTTTTCTTTAGTTTTTTGGGGGGTATGTAGCTTAGGCCTTTGGCCGTAGGAGATAATGTCACTGACAGCCGTCTAACGTCCCAGGGGCAACTCGCTTAAAGATTTGGTAGAGTTGGTACTTTGTGCTCGCCTGTGGTTTGGCATGCACTGCCCTCAGCATGGTGGCGTGGGTATACTGTTCCCCATAGCAACCCCTAGAGGGCGCAGTTCGAAGTTCCCTTGAAAGGGAACGTCTCAGGTTACATATGTAACCATGGTTACCTGAGTAGGGAACGAGACACTGCGTCCTCTAGCTTCCTGCCATGCTTCGGACGCAAGCTTCAGACGAAGAAGCGGATGGCATGTTCTCCCAGCGCCTATTTATACTATAGTCGCACCGGTAGTGACGTCATAGGCTGTCGCCGGCCAACATGTTGTTGGTGTTTTTTTTTAATGTATGCTTCAGACACGGTTCACGTCGAGGCGTTCCCCATAGTGACCCCTAGAGGATGCAGTGTCTCGTTCCCTACTCAGGGAACCATGGTTACATACGTAACCTGAGACGTTCTTCTTATATTACCTGCAGATTTTTGGCTGTCACCATTGGGTTTTTTGGAACTTGCATAAGGATATGACATTTGTGCATGAGATAAACCACAGGGCTAAGCTAGTTCTCTCTAAGGGTTTCAGAAGGACCCAGTGTAAGAAAAATAGTCACCCACCTTCAGAGTAAAGCCACTAAAACAGAGTAAAGACACAAACAAACATCTTTAAGCCTTTGATCTTATAGTATTTATTTTCAGTGTTAAAAGACTGCTTAGATAATGTCTGATCTGAGGGAATACTCAGTGTGCAATAATTATGAGCTTTTAGCCCAATTTCCCCTAAAATAATTTATTTCTGTTCCTGTATTTTGAGATGCAGTCCATTGCTTGAAAGGCACTCACCTAAACCGCAATCTCAGAACTGAAGAGTCTGATTCATTCTGGTCAATGATTCACTCATTGGTCGTCCAAAATTGTCCTCTCTCTCAGTACTAAAATAATTCATTCTAGTAAATCAGTTTATTTGGACAGTTCATTTAAATGAACAGATTTTACAAACTACTTCTTTAACAAACAAACTACTTGATCCGAGTCCCAGTCATATGTTTTCAACATGGTCATGTAAATTAAGATATTTTTGTTATATGAGTTTACCTGTTTACATTTTATTCTGTCACTTTGATTTACTTAACAATCTTTGCCAGAGTCTTTACATTCTCAGTAAGTCAACTAATTAATAATTACTTTTATTAAGGATGTCCAGATATAAATCCACTTACTAATACATAGGAATGTTTACAGTTACATCATTTTACCTGAAATACATTTGGCTGTAGAGATTGATTCCTGAAACTAGTTTCATTTTAATACACTTCTGTTGCATATAGCCTTTAGGGCTAGTGGTGATACTATTGATTACTCTTTACATCTGATATGATGACCACATATTTACAAATCATAAGTGTCCCTTCACTGACACACACTTTCAGCAAACATCTCTAAGATGATAATAAGCAGCTCATATTCTCCAACAAACTATGTAATCCCAAAAAAATGGAATTGTAAGCCCTTCCCAGAAGGTAGCCTCAAGCAAAGGTTATCTAATCTAACTTTCTCTATTCATAATTTAGTTTTCATGACAGTAACTCCCCTCTATCTGACCCTTAGAATTATACAGGCAGTTACTTGCATTACTAAAATGTGGCACACAAACTGTTGTTTCAGACTGATGTGACCAGCAAAACTGGACACTAATTAGCAGAACATAACTTCAGGGCTATAAAAATGGATGTTTACAAGTGGCTGTCCAAACTAAACACAGACAACCTGAGAAAACTGATGTCCCTAACAGCACAAAATTCAAGACGAACGCAACAATTTCACGTCATCCTGATTGGCCAGTACTGTTTTTTGTAACTTTTATAGTTAGCTCTGTCATAACTACTATCTACATTTACTGTATATCTAATATTATATCTAAGCTTTTTGCTCATTTTACGGTAACTGAATTATTCTAGTGACAAAGGTCTACTTGTTGATTAATTGGTATTGGCAAAATCTGCTGAATATAACAGCTTAAACCAGCCTTAGTTAGCTGGTCTCCCAGCCAGGCAAAACTGATTTGGCTGGCCTGCTGGCTGGTTTTAGAGACATTTTGAACAATTTTCAGGTGATCAGGCTGATCATCTTAAACCATTTAGAAAACCACCTTAGGCTGGTTTAAGCTTTTTTTCAATTAGACTCAAAAATCACTGAAAATTCACTGTTTCATTATATTCATGTGAGGATACTTCTGACAACAGGACAAATGGATTTGGAAATTGTTAATAAAAAGTTTTGGTGTTTAAACTACAAACTAAACAAATGTTTTGGATACAATAAAATATCTAGGTTTTTGACAACAAAGCTCCTGTCCCTGCATGAGAAAATTGCAAAACACCTCAAACAAGTGAAATGTTCTCTCACAGATAAAGAGTCTAGACTGCTGCCATTGATAATGAGAGCACAGGCTATGTCAAAGGGGTCATATGATGCTATTTCAATTTTTCCTTTCTCTTTGGAGTGTTACAAGCTCTTGGTGCATAAAGAAGATATGTAAAGTTGCAAAGACTAACGTCTCAAATCCAAAGAGATATTCTTTATAAAATTTAAGAGTCAACCACGCTTACCTAAAACGGCTCATTCTAACATGCCCCCACATATCTACGTCACGATGTGGGAAGATTTGCATAACGCCGCCCAAATGTTCACGCAAAGAAAGAAGGCGTAACTTTTATTCTCGCTGTAGTATTATTGTTGCGTGCCGCCATGTTGTGAAGGTGCTGTGTGTTTCGTTGTGAAAGTGAAACTATTTTGTTTGGTCTTCCAAAAGAGGACGATATCCGCTTCGTCATGCCTGGAGCTGATCCGTGCTGGATCGCCCGGGGTCGTCAAAATGTGGTTGCCGCTAGCCCTCCGGACGCTCCTTCGTCAAGCCCGCCGCCTCTGCTCACTCTAGCTCTCCGGCCATTCCTCACTCTAGCCCCCGGCCTCTGCTCACTCTAGGCCACCGTGTGTGATGCTGTGTTTTGTTGTGAAAGCAAAACTACTTTGTTTGGCCTTCCAAAAGAGGATGATATCCACTTCATTATGCCTGGAGCTGATCCGTGCTGGTCGCTGAGGAAATACATCAACTTCGCAACTGGTTGCCGCTCACGCTAGCCTGCCGTGTGTGACGCTGTGTTTCGTTGTGAAAGCGAAACTACTTTGTTTGGCATTCCAAAAGAGGACACGACTAGAAATCAGTGGCTAAGTTGTATTTACAACACTGTTCCAGAACAGTTCAACCCAAATATTCAGATGTATCCAGTGCATTTTATGGAGGACTGTTTCCTGATCCTGGGAGAGTAGACTACAATGCCGGCTCTTCTGACTCACAGACTGTAAGTACATTTTTTATATTTAAAGAATTTGCCACTGATGATTCAAACACGAGTTTTGAGCAGTGTACAGTAGCGTTTGAAGTTTGTAATTTCGCCGATCACAAATACAGATATGGTTTTATGTATACGCGCCGCGATGCAATGCAACACGTAAAAAGACAGTATAAGTCATTATAATCCGTAAATATGTCCCCACTGGATCCAACAAATGCCTCGTTTATAATGGGTTTTATTGGTTTTGTCTCGTCGCTCCGGGACACGGCATCACAGTATGGTAAGGGGCGTAACATTTCCGTAACACGCTTGAGGTATTCGGCCAATCACAACACACTGGATAGCTGGCCAATCAGAGCACACCTCGCTTTTCAGACCGATGAGCTTTGTAAAAATTGACGCGTTTCAGAAAGGTGGGGCATAGAGGAGAAACAATAATATACAGTATGTGAAAAATAATGTTTTTTTTTTACCTTTTTTACAGCATAAACACATTATACCAAATACACAAAATAATGTTCTTTTTAGCAACATCATATGACCCCTTTAAACACTGCCATTATTGATGTTGTGCGGAGCTGTTGGGAATCAGGGATAAGCGATTTGTCCCTGCGAGCTTGTTGCCCTAACTGCACAGAATACAAAAAGCATGAGAGGGGCCAAGAATCTGATTGTGACAAATGAAGGCGGTTTCAAGGTGTTCGCTGACATTCCCTTTGGTGCACTCTGATGCGCCCCGGCTGGCCCTTGCTGTATACTCTTTGAATGAAGATGTGCATTTTTATGGCTGAATTCAAATAAGAAAACATCTTTTTAAATGACTGAGCACTTCCGTGGCCACCCTGCTGATGTGTTGTCCCAACTTACAGCCACTGTATAGTGATACATTACACCTAACATGTTGGATTAACATGGTTGAGATATGATTCTTTGTAACGATGCCAAAGTCAGCAATCAGAAGTCAGATATTTCAACATAAATTCAAGCATGTCTCATCCAATTCTCCAAGACCAAATTATCATTACTTATTGTATATTTATATACAATGTGTATATATATATATATATATA